CCAGCTAACCAATCAGAGCACACTGGGCTCTGGTTGATGAGCACAATATGTCCTCTTTAAAAACACATGTGTACAACTTTACCAAGGTTTGCTGGGGATACTGAAGTAAAAAACAATGGCTCCGTTTTCAGTTATATTCTGTGTTTTTGAGCATTTTCATACAATTAACGTGCGGTGCTAGCAATCGTTAAGCAGCAATATAACAGGGCTGGGTGTCGACTGAAATGTGTTTAGCACTGTGCTAAAAGCTGAGAAAAAGACGTGTTTAGATCCATTACTGTGTTCACTTCTTATGACCCAATAGTTCCTGAACTTATTTTGTAGATTACAAATGAGATTTTGTAAGATGTATGTTTTGGTATCCGTATCACAACTCTTTTGAAATGCCAATCATTACCTACAATGCAACTGAAGGATGAAAATACTTTAGCAGATTGATATCATTTCATGAAACAAAGATGTCCTTTTGAAACTTTTCAAGAGATATCTGACTGCACACCATACGGCAAAAAATGTGAACTTTACACCCCACACCTTCACTCCCCCGCCCCCCCCCCCCCCCTTACCACAGCAGTGCATCTTAGCTCCATGAAATGTTTTTATAACCCAATAGTGTTATCATTTACCTCACATACTCATGTTGTTTCTGTGCTCTGAAAGTCAAAAGAAATGATGATGATGATGATGATGAACTAGAAGTGTTAAGTCCCCCGGTTCCTTTCCTGAGTGAGACATGAATGGACATTGGACACTATGTGAAAGTTGAATGTTTCAAAGCATTTATGGAAGTCTGCTATTTGTATCTTGTGAAGGTTTGTGGATTTACAAAAGATGTTAGCAAGCCTCTTTTTTTTTGTAATCATAGCACTTTTTGTAAATTGAATGCCTTTTATTTCCTCCAATACCTTTTTTTTTTTGTTTAAAACCTTTATTACAAATGTATAGATGATATATTTAGCTCTTTTAGAGAACAATAACATGTAAATACAATATAAAATGTTTTATTTTTACAGGTACAATTTTGACAGTGTTTTTTCCTATCAAAGTGTCATTTTTGCTTTACTTGCACAAGTGTATCGCATTGGGGGGTCTTTAACAAACAATGTGCCTTTTCTATCGCTGGTTTAGGTAAGAGCACAAGTAATAATGAAGCTTAAAGGTGGGGTAGGTCATTTTGGAGAAACCAGCTCGAGATCGCTAGAATTTGAAAATACACAACCGGAAAAAATCTGCCACTTCCTCACAGAGCCCCTCCTCCAACACACACGAACGCGCACATGACCAATGAGGGCACGAGTTTGTGCACAGATGGATGGCTGACAGGCAGGTAGGCCATCCAGTTACTTTAGCCGGGCCGGCTCAGATGATTGGTCGTGCTTTTTACAGCGCCACGGCTTCAACAGATGACCTTTTGTAATGGATTTGTTGTCAAAGCACTTCAGATATTCATTGCTATCAGGATGTTAAGAGCATTCCATGGAATATAACAAAGTGTATCTCAAGCCGGTTTCTCAAACTTACCTTCCCCACCTTTAATGGACATTTATATAGCACTTAATTGTATTATCCTTTCATTGGCTGTTTAATCAGATGTTAAAAAATACATTTAATGTATGTCAAATAACTCCTAAGTGTGACATTGTGAAAAAAACAACTTAGTATATTATCATTTATTTTGAATATTTCCTTGTGATTTCTGCCTGAAATGTATTATCCACTCAGCTAGTGTTTTACGCACATGGCAGATGCAAGAGATTGGATTTTGTGAAAGTAACAGCAATGAACTTTGGATCAAAGATAGAAGATCCCTACACATTGGAGAAAGTAGATCCAGATTTGGCGTCCTAACTTTAAATCCCCGGGGTAAAAAGGAATAGGCAAAGTCTCCCAGGAGATTCTTCAGTGAGAGGCACAGACCTTCAGCATGTCAGACTTCTTTATAAGCTTCAGTGGTACCAGTGAACTTTATTGAATGTGTAAGAAACACTGCAATACTGCAATATATTTTTGGTATTGGATCAAGCTGCTAACATACTTCTAAAGCTCCTTAAGGTGCTACAGACCTCTTTTCTAGTTCTTAAGTGTATCGTTTGTACAAAGTATCCAGTTTAGCTGAACAGTTGGCGTGTGTGCCCGGTTGAACTATATAGCGACATATATTTTTATTGTACTGTGACTTTTGTAGTCTTTTTACAGACTTGCCTGTAATATCACATGCATCCCTCACCCCCCTGCCCACCTGTGTTGTGTTGTGATATTGGGAAACTGAGTCATGGCGGGGGATGGCTCTGAGTAACTCGGCAGAAAAAGAAAATGAAGACGCTGACGGTGAGAAGCTCCGCCGTTCAGAAAGAGCTGAGGACGTTCAGAAACGAAGTGCATTCCAGCCATGTTGGTTTTGTTATTCGTTGCATTTCATTTCAACAATGCCATCCCGTGACAATGATGGACTCGTTGCTAATTCTCAATATTTTACTTCAAATCTATTTTACAAACTACTGTTGTATTTTTATAAATATAGGGCAAAGTAATTCACACAAACATATGTATATATATAAGTGAATATATATGTATATGTTTACAGGTTGTGTAAAATGAATGCTGCAGCTTTTATCTGTTGTTTTTTTAAACCTTGACATCATCCAAAGAGGCAGATTATTTATTGTCTGGCAGAATAAACCTGATTTGATTTACATACCTTTGCTGCTATGAGAGAGAAGAGCTGCAGTCGTCAACTCCAGTGTTTTTACACAATGTAATGAAAGTTCAATAAACATACGAGAAGGATACAACCGAGCGAGCGTCTGTTTGGTTATTATTACGTCTCATTGTTTGTGGTTTTGTCTGCTTCTGTGTAAGTCTGGGGTTACTTTGAGGACTATGTCCTGCCCACATTAAATCTCTTTAAGTTTCGTGGACAGTCCCCATTTATTGTTACAAAGACAGTAAATGGGGCAGCTTTAGCCAACATGGTTCATTTCAAGCTGTTGCCCCCGTCCAGATGATAATAGACACCCTAAAATCATGTCAAGCATTAATTGAGAAGAAAGTAGGACAGACAAGAAGATAGAGGAGATAGGATAGAAGAGAACTAATCTGAAAACAAGATAAAAGTGCAACAACACAAGATATAGCAAGCCAGCTAATATATAGTCATATGTTGTTGGATAGTTTAGAGAGCTACTGGCTGCATCTGCATGGCAACAAGCCAAACATTACTTCCTAAAGTCATGATACTACAACCCTACCTAGAAACTGCCAAACGTATCTCGACAATCCTCTTATTTAATGTCATTCTGCACATCTGACACTTAATACAGAACGTAATGTTGATGTTGTCTTGTCTGAAGCCTAAATAAGTGCGATCTGTCAAGAAATAAACAATAAAAACCACATGAATTCTATGTTTTTTGAGCATACTGCTTCTGAGGACAGTTTGTGCTACCATGTTGTTCTTCAGTGGAAGAGACTTTCAAACATATGAGGTAAACCAATCCTAAACATTAAGATGTATTGAATGTTTCAGGAGTATGCACGTTGCAGTGGAAGTGGAGTGGATGTATCAGTTACAAATTAAAGCTGTTGGTCTCAAAAACTGATGTAATTGGTTGATAAAATCATGCGGTTATATTAAACAACCCCATTACTCGGTATACTTCACGCTGAAGGCTATCTAATTCCTATTCCTGCTGTGTTCCTTGACATTTATCCTTCTCTCACTTTATCATGACTGTTTGCTTAAAACCTATTTTTGTGGATCAGCCAAGGAGGTTAGCACAAATAAGTTGTAGAGTTTACATGAACAAACTGACAGCTCCCTGTTGCTCTCCTGTGTTATCAGCTGCATGTTACACTGCAGTAGTGTTCACTCTGTGATCATGTGTTCCTGCATGCTGGAAAAGTCTCGGTGAAAAGAGTGAAAAGGACAAACACAGGCTGTGAGCTGTGTAACATGTTCTGCAGCTCCCTCCCCCCAGCCTGAGCTCAAATGTGTCAGTGTGCACTTCTGAAACTGGACTCTGCACAAAGCTGTCTCGCGGCTAATTAAGCAGGCCGTGGCTCGCGCGCACCGAGTATTAACTGTTTTCTGAATCACACATACATATTATCGTGTTTTACTACCACTGAATGCAGAACGTTAGTGATGTACCCCGCCCTCCTCCGCTGCACAAAGTAAACTGAGTTGAACCATCGGGATGAACCCGTTGAACCCAAACAGAAAGTACCTCACACTCCTGGACCCCAGGGGGCGCTGTGGCCTCATGGAGGGGCTTCTGCTGGGAGGGCAGAGCAGAAAGTGCACAAATCTGAAGCAAAAATAAATAGTAAAAATGAATGTTTTTAAGGAGTGGCAACACAATTGGGACTGCAGGAGTCAGCATGTCAGCAGGGTCAGATGACCATGTATTAACCAGAAGGGGGAGAAGTACTCACATCTTGTACTTGTAGTAAAAGTAGAAGTACCAGAGTGTAGGAATTACTGTTACAAGTAAACGTCCTGCAATCAAACTGTTACTCAAGTACAAAAGTATTAACATCAATATACTTAAAGTCCCGAAAGTAAAAATAGTCATTGTGCAGATTGGTCCATTTCAGAATAATATGCATGATATGTTTTATAATTATTGATCATTAAAGTGTTCTCAAAGATGGCAAAGGTGCAGCTAGTTTGAATGACTTTGTATACTGCAGGGTAGCTTGTGAATGTACTCCAGATGGAACTAAAGTCTGATTCAACACTTGATTATATTTCACATCCTTAATCAAAATCTGTAATAAGGTATTCAATAAATGAGTAAAAGTACACCATGTACCTCTATATTGTAGTGGGGTATACGTACAGAGCAACCACAAATTATAGACAAACAGAGTTAATAAAGAACATTTAACTTTATTTTTTTTGGTTAGATAATTCTGGTCCACACTCCAATACATTAGGGGGCGGTAATGCACCTTTAACGCTGGCTGCTACCGGCCATAAAACCGCAAAAAGAAGAAGCGCCAGCTGATCAGTCAGCAGCAGACTGCACACACACCCACCCACCATGCCTTCCCCGATCCCCGTCACCCGCTTGCTCCCCAAAGATTTCTACCCCTTCCTGGACCTGGAGACCTGCAGCAGCCCGCTGACCAGAAACCCCGGATCCACCTTACAGGTTCCCGTCCAGCGGCTCCACGGAAAGGTCGCCAGCCGGCTCTGGTCCACGGTGATCCACTGGAAGGAACTGCGCTCCGTGCAGCCTGCGGGATCCGGAGGGTTCGGATCCGTCTACAAAGCGGATTACTTCGGAGAGACTGTAGCGCTGAAGAAAGTCAAGAAGTGCACCAAAAACAAGCTGGCGTCCCGGCAGAGCTTCTGGGCCGAGCTGAACGCAGCGCACCTGCGCCACGAGAACGTCGTGCGCGTCATCGCGGCCACCACCTGCATGCCAGCGGATTTCGGAGACGATAGCAGCATCGGAGCGGTGCTCATGGAGTTTGTGGGGGACAGAAACCTGCAGCAGATCATCTACGGTGGGTGTGACCCTCTGGAGGACAGGTGCCTCAGGTATGCTACAGATATTGCACGCGGTCTGCGCTTCCTGCACTCACACAGCGTGCTGCACCTGGACATTAAGCCAGCCAACGTGCTGGTGTCCGGGGAGGACGTGTGCAAAATAGTAGATTTCGGTTCTTCTCTGAAACTGGACCACAGATGCGAGGTGAGCTGTCTCAGCCCGCATCTGAGCCACGTCGGCGGCACGTACACGCACAGAGCCCCGGAGCTGCTGAAAGGAGAGGGGCTGTCTCCTAAAGCAGACATCTTCTCCTTCGGGATCACTCTGTGGCAGCTGATCACCAGAGAGCATCCCTACACCGGGGACCGGCAGCACGTGCTCTACGCGGTGGTGGCCCACAATCTGCGACCGTCGGTCCAGGAGCACCCGGTGTTCCAGTCGGAGCAGGGCCGGCAGTGCAGGACTCTGCTGGGCCGCTGCTGGAGCGGGGACGGTCGCTGCAGACCGACTGCTCAGGAGCTGGTACCTCAGCTGGAGCAGATCAGCTCCCAGACATGAGACTGTTTTATGCACAGGTGCACTGACATGTTTTTAGGAACATTTTAGAACGTGGACTGCCCTTATCTTAATGCCGAATCTCGTTTAAAAAGCACACCATTTAGTGCCTTCCTGTTTATCTATGAAAATACAATGTGCCTTACAAAAATGACACTGTTAGACTATCATGAGGATGTAATGCTTCAATTCGGCTTATGTGACTCTAACGAGAAAAGCACTTATTGTAATAAAAACAGCTTTGAATTCATTCGTATGGCTCACTCAGCCTGAATAGATGCATTCAAGTTGCTTAACAGTGTAAAGTTAAATGTAGTGTGTGTTGTGCAGGCATCTGGTAAATATGTGGCTCCTCATGAAACAAACATTGTAACGGTATTTTCTTAACCCTATGGGGCTGTATTGTGCTTCATCTTTAAATGTCCTTTTAATTAAGTGTACTCTGGTGCACAGTGCTCTGAAATAAAGTGTCTACACTGCTACAGGTAAAAATATTTTATTCTCACTTTAGTTTTAAAGTATCACTTACATGAACACAAGCCAGATAACATTACATCATTGACATTATATTCCACAACTCAAACATCCACACGAAGTTACTGTAAGGGTTGACTTAGTTTTATACAATTTTCTTCAACTTTGAGATACAAATGTGTTGTGAATTGAGTTGTATTTGCTATGTTTGTAACGTGAGATTTAAGTGTTTTCATTAAAAATATTTTTATAATTTACATTTTGATTCTTGGCTCTTTCTCACATTCAAACTCATTCATTAGAAATGTGTTTCTAAACTTTGTTTCCTCTGAATTTGTGTTGTAACACAGCCACCTGCTGGACACTCCTAAGGACACACGTGCTGAAATAGTTTTTAAAGTGCAGAACTGTATTAACCTTTAGGAATGTTTATTTATGGAACACAATCTAGTAAAGTAACACTTAAACCTGTGTAACCATGACACGTCACCTTTGGGAAGCTTGCCTTTGACTGATTTGGTGCTTAAGGAAGGGAATTATGGGTAAACATGACTAGTTATTTAGCTCAGATTTTAAACAAAGTTACCTTGAAACTCCTGTATACAAAAGTGTTTTAAACTTTTAACATTAAAACTTGATTAAACACACTCAGTTGATAGACTCATCGTGTACTATCTGAATGAGACCTATGCTGCATTATCATGTTTGTTTTGTTTTCTTGACTTTGAAAGAAGACTAGAAGATTCTGATGTTTTAACAGGCCGAGCAGAACTTGTAAAATGTATTGAATTTTCCTTTAAAGTAAACTCTACCTCAGTGTAATGTCTGCCAGAACACAACGACAGGATGAAAGTGTTAAAGAAATATTGACAAGATATTCCATTTTACCATTTAGATGGACAGACTGTAACATAACAGTCCCACAAGGGCAGTTATAATGAACAGCTACGAACAACACGATTCACAGACGGCAAAACTGATCACAGGAACAAATACCATTTGGATCATGTGAATGTGTTCACATACAACAGTTAGATATGGCAGTGTATGTGGGAGAGCTCACATGATGGTGACTCTCTCCGGAGAGACGTGTGCAGCCGAGCCCACGGGCTCCAGGCGCTGGCAGCGGTTCTGACTGCTGTCCATGCCGCGGCGGATCTGGTGCAGCTTGCGGCCGACGCAGGGGAGCAGCATGAGCACCTTCCCCAGAATCACACACACGGGCAGCGCCAGGGCCACCATGAAGCTGGGGGGCAGGTAGAAGCGGTAGGCGTCCTCCTCGAAGGCTTTCTTCCAGCCGAACAGCAGGCCGTGCAGGGTCGCGATGAGCAGAGCGATGTAGCCCAGCGTGGACTGGAGTAAAGACAGGAACACTCATTATGGGATATACAGCAACAACTGCTGGGGTTCATTCACAAAGAGAGGAGAGCCAGACACACACCTCGTATACTTTTTTCTTTATATTTTTAGTCACGGCCACAAAACCCAAGATATGAAAATATTCTGATTCTGATGATTTCCATGTGACAAACTTCAAATCCACCATACACTGTTACTACTCTTCCTGCTGACGCCCCCCCCCCCCCCCCTACACTGTACAACACCCCACATTCTGCAATATCCATTACTAATTAAGCATCAGAGGGATATTCCAGCCCAAACATTTCTTCTACTGAAGATTTCTACTGCTTAGAAATCTTAGAAAAGGACCCCTTATGACCCGAGAATTTGCCTGACAATAAGTTTCTCCAAGCATCACCCCTGTTTCGTGTTGTACCTGTATGAAGCTGAACTCCCTCCAGTTGAGCGTGCTGTGGACGGAGGGGATGGAGGTGATGGCGAGGAGCGACAGCAGCCCGAGGCTCATGACCCCGAAGGAAACGTACATCTCCACCCTCCACACCTCCTCCTCGTTCCACGCGTTCTCCACATTAGCGTGGACCTGCACACACAGAGGAGGCTTGGGATGAAATCAATCACTATTACCATCTTCTAATTATGGTTTATGGCTCTTGATTTTCTTTCACATACAATGTGTGGGAGCGCTAGCCAATTGAAGCGCAAGTGTTATACATAGTGATGTCACCATGTTGCTGAAGCAAACAAAGGAGACCAATGGAGGCGTTTAAGGAAGGAGGGGAGTGTGTGGGAGAGAAACTCCCTCTGGATGGAACTTTGGGATTTGAAACTTTGCACACCATTTACATGCACTAAAACCTTTATTACATACTACAGGAAAGGGAAAACCTCAATACCCCCAATAATAGGACCTCTTTAATCAAAGCAAAGACAACACATTAATACAAATCTTCTTGTTTCACTGGAGCATATCACTCTGAGCCCCCCCACTGACCTGCTGGTAGGCGGTGTTGAGCATCAGGTACCTCTCAGACCGCCTCATGGGCAGACACAGGCTGTAGACCACGTGCACGGCAGCCAAGAAGAAGCTGAGCAGGCCCAGCTGCTTCCTGCTCTGCAGCCAGCCCTCCAGCCAGTGGGGGAAGTGTCTGTACTTGGTGCCGTAGTACAGCTGGTGGGCGGCGGCCAGCTGACCCGCCAGGTACACCAGCGCCAGCAGCGTGATGGCCACAGTGGGCAGAGTCCGGTTCACCATCTCTATGGGGATCTTGTAGAAGTCACTCTGCTTGTGTTTCACATACGGGTGGATGATGTCTCGTACAAATGAGTAGGCGAAAAAGAAGATGGAGAGGGCGACGGCGGCGAGCACAGGGCCCTTCCAGCCGGGGAATAACCGTATGGGAATGTTCTCAATGTCCCGAGAGGAAGACAGGGTGCCCATATCCACCGGCAGGAAGTGGAGCTGGCGGGCTAACTCCATGATCTGCTGCCGAGCCTCCACCGAGTCACTGCAGATGTACACCTAGAGGTTGGACATACAGAGATGACAAGTCGGAAGATGAGGACATAATCACCTATAGAATGTCAAACTGATTAATAGTATCATGAACTATGAGTGTATACTACCTGTGATTTATCATTTATAACCCTTAATCCACACTAGTCTTTTCACCTGTCCTCTCGCACATCTATTAACTCCAATTTCTTCTCCCCTGTTAATCCTGAAATAATAGTCTCTTCTCTTGCATTATATCTGATTGCAAGGGTTCTCCATGAAACTCATGCATTTAATTGAGAAGCTTCTTACTTGCCCTGTAATTTTATAATCCTAACCATGATAGCTGACTGGCTGGGAGGTTATTTCAGAAGCGGGCAGCTCTATTGTTGTGAGTTCCTTCTATAGGAATTAATTTGCTCTGGATGTGAGGGCTTTTTTATAATCTGTGCCTAAATTCGATCAAATGAATGTTTCAAATAGCCAGCAAGGCAGATTGAACCGTCTTTGTCTTTGTTGCATGCAGTATGCTGGCTTCTGTCTCCTTAGATAACCCAAGACACAGATCCTGAATCAAAATGCCTGTTGGCCTTGAAGTGAACTCAGGCTGTTCTGCCCAATAATCATAACCGAGCCATCTTGGTTATGAACAAGTTGGTGAAAACCCAGTGAAATCTGCAGGAAAATCTTGTAAATGGACCTTGTGTTAGGTTTGGTGTTTGTTAGTTTGTTCAAAGAATTGAATGTGTTTATGTTACCTGTGTGCTGGCGTCTTTGGGGCAGCTCATCTGCATGGCCCAGGCTGAGATGACGTTGAAGCCTTTGACGGTGATGGAGCCTGGCATCAGTGAAGCCAGATACTCCGCGTTGGACTCGGGGTACTGGTTCACCCTCCTGTTGTTGCTCACATCCACCAGGATCTTTCCTGCACGGCAAGACACACACACAGGATTTCTGTAGTTAAACTTAATAATGCAAGACACCCTCCTGGAGTCTAGAAGGGACCTCCAGAATTCTCGTAGAATTATTGTTTTACACAACATTAGCAACAATATTGAATTTGATTCATCTTTAAAGTTCCTCTTTGTAAGACTGATATAATAAATAAAAAGAACATGTGTTTATATTATTTTCCACTTTTGTCAGTCCAGATCATTTCTACGAAAGATTCAAAAGCATGATGAATTAGAATGCATGATTTAATGCTGTAATAAATGTTTATGACAGTGCTCTAAGTGTGTATATGTGTAAGTATCTACCTTCCAGTAGGTGTTTGAGGTCCCACAGCACAGAGTAGTGCTCTCGACGGATTGCCAGGAACACGATGTTGGACTTCCCCACAGCGTCCTCATGGTGTGTCACGTCCACCACGTGAGGAAGAGACTGCGCTGCCAGTTTGGGGTGTCGGCTGCCCACCACCACATGGAAGCCGCAGCGCAGCAGGCGGATGGTCAGGCACTTGGAGAAGTCCCCGGAGCCCAGGATGGCCACCGTGGGCCGGGAAGACTCTGTGTCTCCACTCTTGGTGCCGTTGGGCAGGAAACAAGCCTGTGTGTGTTGGAGGTGGTGGTGAGAGGACGGAGCTGTGAAGAACACAGGGCTCCTACTGCTGCCCATCATGGAGAAGGAGTCCATCCTGCCTCCCTGTCTTCTTCTGTGGTGTTCTGCTTAGGAAGATTTCAGTGGGTCTAAGGGAGGAAAGAGCAAAGTAAAACAGGGGCTAAATCCCATGCATCACAGGTAGAATGACCATGTATAAACAGCATTTGATCACATCGATTGTAGTCAATTTTGTCAACTGAAAATCAAAATGAGATTTGTGTTGACACTTAAAACTTAATCCAGATAGTTAATAATGTATTGAAAAATGCTATTGATCACTACATGTCATTAATAGGAAAACATTTGAGGTTGTCATGTTGCTCAAGTCAAAAACAGGCGGGCTGCTGTTTCCATCAATGAAACCCATCGCCGGGACAAGCTGCGTCTCCTGATGACCTTCTGTCTGCACACACTGTTCATCTGAAGGACAAGGTCGTGTGTGTGGCTGTGCGTGTGGCCGTGTGTGTGTGTGTGTGTGTGTGTGTGTGTGTGTGTGTGTGTGTGTGTGTGTGTGTGTGTGTGTGTGTAGACAGCCCCCGTGCACCTGTAGCGTTGCAGCACGACCGCTGCCGTTCTGCCATGCACAACACACACACATATACACACACACACACTGATGACAACAGGCACATATACCATGCACGTGCACAGTGAGACTGCATACACTGTATGTTACACTGTATGTTGTGATGATGGTGTCACCCACCTGTCATGAAGCTGCTCAGGATGCTGCCGTTAAAGTCGAGACTCAGACAGATGCTAGCCGCCCATCCTGATGCTGCTCAGCCTCCGCTGTCTGAACACATGCTGCGTTCATGTCCCGTGGGAAAAACCGGAGACGCCACTTTATCGGAAAATAACGCGTCTGGGGTTTATTTTTTCCATAGCCAGTAGAGCTTGCAGGATATATGGAAAAACTGCAATGACGTTGTTGAATTTCCTGATAAATATTACCTGTAGTAAATAAGTTGAGCTTGGAGTGTACCAAGTACCGCATTTCAGCATATTTCAGTATAGCCTATTTGTACAAAAGGAAAAACATAATTTTTACTGAACATTGAACTAAACACAAAACATGCTCTCAATGACATATGTATGGTGAGTCTTTATGAGCTATTTAATGCACCATTTGTGAACAATGTGTGCTCTCCACACTTCAAGTCAATGGCAGTACAGATGCTTTTGCAGCAACCAAAGTAGACACCAGCATTCATTCTTAAATAGAACAAGAAGGGTGAAGCATATTTTATTTCCTTTTAAACATTTTGGTTGTAAGAGGCCAATTTGTAATAGGCTTTGCATGCTTCATTATTAAACTGAGACTCAGATCCTGCAATGTGTCCTATTGGCTCCTGAAGATGTTCTACCAGTGTTGGTGCATCAGGGCTAGAGAGGCCAGCAGCAGATAAACACTGACCACGTGTAGTTTTACAAACATAAACATTAGCCTACTTACGTTATTAGGTAATGAGGAACATTAAGTGTCAACATGGCAAGTTGAGTGTCAACACTTGCAAATATAATAAGTATAACCGTTTAGCAGTGATGCAATCCTACAATCTACTCAGCTTGAGAGGGAGGTGTCTGAAATTCTGAAGTCAGGGATCAAAAAAGAGTGTTTTGGTCATTTTTGGTCCTCCGGAGCTGCCGTAGCTGTCATGGCGTTCCTGGAAGGAGCCGTGTATGCTGTTGGATTTATATGTTTATTATTTATTATCCGTTTATATTATATTGTAAAGACTGGATCAAACTATAAGCCTGGAGCCAAAGGTCCGGTCGCTGTTCTGGTCGTAGCAGGGTCAGGTAACGATAATGATATTAACATACAGTTCTTCAGGTAGGCTATCTGCAGAGAAGAGTAGCCGTCAAAAGCTTAACTTGTACCTCAGTTGTGATTAAAGACATGTGTTGTACTTGCCAACCTTTTAGATATGCATTAGTGCATAAGGGCGAACAGGTAGACAACGTTTTAAAGTTCGTTAACAGTTAGCTTACTTCCTTAGCATCAGCGCTAACAACACGTTGCGTTACTGCACTGGACTGTGCCAAGTTATCAGTAAAAGTGGGGGTGGGACTTTTTTTAAATACATATTTTCCTGCCCTACTAATATTTGTACAGACGGTATTTACCTTTAATACGAACAAGTTTGATCAACAGGTAAATATTCCATCCCTAAACTTATAAGAACCTATTTAAAAAAACAACCACAACAAATCAGAACATTCCAAAAACAACCTTGAGAGTGGTTTTGCTTATTTTTTCTGATATATAATATAACTCTGGTTGTAATATTGATAACAGAAACACTACATCACATTACATATAACTGTAGTGTTATACTAATAACCATCTTCATTAGAACAAATGGAGCTGGATCAAAACATGATAAACAGACCTAAATTATTAGGGTGTTTTCTGTGTATTTGCCACTGTTATACTACATCTGGAGATATATAATATTATACAAGTGTATTAAATATACTAAGGATGGTCTTGCCAACATTTTCCAACTAAGTCCTATGCTGCTCCTCTCCGTCATGTGTGTATGATGTGTTGACTGTGTGTGTTGTTTGTTTTCCAGGTGGCCACACCACAGAGATCCTGCGGCTGATGGAGTCCCTCTCTGCAGGATACACACCTCGACACTATGTTATCGCCGACACTGACAGGATGAGTGAGGAGAAAATCTGCTCCTTCGAAAGCTCTAAACAGAACTCAGACTCTGAGTCACAGGTACACAGCTGTCAGTAGGAGGACATTCGGTCCATGTCCCTAACTATGTCAAGACTCACTCCTGAAATGTCTCCTCCAATATGATCTGCTCAGACATATCAAGCAAATTAGAACATCCTGTCCCCTTTGACGAAAACCAAAGTGTTAGTAACAGTTCTAAATGATTTGCACAAATGTATCATCTTTGACAATTATCTTTTGGATGACCTAATTAGTATTTACTTAACTAAGGCCATCCCCAGCCCTGGACAATTTCAGTCTTTGCTTATGAAGTGATTCAAATACAGCATCTTCTGGGACTCTCTGTGGAGTGTTAGTGCTCACCAGCAGGTGGCAGAAGTACGCTCTTTATTTGTGCTTTTCTTATACTTTTGACATCATTTGAGCCAAGGATACATATTACATTACATTACTGTAGACACTTTTATCCAAAGCGACTTACATACGTTCAGTACTGTGGACAATCCCCACAGGAGCAATTTGAGGTGAAGTGTCTTGCCCAGGGACACAACGACATGCTGACTGCAGTGGGACTCGAACCCTGATTCGATGCCCAGCACACTATCCAGTGAGCCACAGCCACCCACACATATGCAACAAACTAAATGAATACCTGCTTTATGCATATCTGAATACCCATTGAGAAAACACTGATGAGAAAGACTATTCAGTATTGCCGTACATTCATTTGAATAATATATATTCCTACACTCGTTTTCTGTGATATGAGCCAGTTTTACCCAAATTCAACATGCAAACGGTGACGTCATGTGCCCTTGTTCCCCAGTTCTCCATCTGTCGGATCCCACGCAGCCGGGAGGTGCTTCAGTCCTGGAGCTCCTCAGTTCTCAGCACCCTGCACGCCCTGCGCTTCTCCCTTCCTCTGGTGTTCAGACTCAGACCTGACGTGGTGAGTGCAGACAGAGAGCAGACGGGAGCTGTTATCACACAGAAACATCACTCAGACACTTGAAGCATTCCTTCTACTATTTCAGGCCTTTAATCTGGAGCCTTGGCTTTAAGATTGTACCTATATGGTCATAATATGCATATAACAAACTAACACTGAGACATTCTCATTCATGTACAGTGCTATCATTTGACAAATATTGCACAACGTGGTCATGCTCATTGAATTACACGACATCAATCTTATTAATAGCTCATTTAACAACAATAAAAGTTAATCAGTGTCGAATGCCATTCAATTAAGTAGACTTATGTTCATAGGACTGTTGCAAAAATATACTATAGAAAGAAAAGTATTTGGACCCATCTCATGTAGTTGTGGCACACCGGGCACAATATATTTACATTTCTTAGGTCTTCTTTGTTATAGTATTATAGAATGCAGGTATCTTTCTCAACAAGGAAGATGAACTGTCACTTTTACAAACACATTCCTTCTCATGTGCAATGCTGTAGCTTTTATAATACTGATATTACATTACATAGTCATGCTCATTGAATTACACATTGTTCTCTTTAATAGATTGTTTTGTAAAAGCTTCAGATTTATAAACATCTCATTTTGAACCAGAACATGAAATCAGTGCCGCATTCTGCTTATCATTCCATTAGAAAAAAACAAAGAAGTAGACTAATGTAATGTTGGTATAAGTGTATGTGGCTGTAGATCTTTAGTAAATAGAGAAGGAAATGCACAATGACTTTATGGACGCCCATGTGAGCTGTGAGAGCAGACTTGTGAGCGTCTCTCCACAGAACTTGTTGGTTCTTGGTGGCTGGTTCCAAACAAAGCCGGGGACTTGGTGCCAGGGCAGTCCTCCCAGAAATGATCCATTTCTTGTGAAGGCAGCGCGGTTTGACCCGCCGTAAACCTGCAGTCGCTCTCATGCGTACTGATTCTGCACAGAAGTGTCTTTAAATTAAGAAATTCAGGAGTTGTAATCTGTACTCACACTAACTCACTGCATTTAGATTTAATTGCAAGTTAGATTCTAACGTATTTTGTATATATTATATTGGGTTTTCTTTGGATACTCCATTGGTATACACTATATATTTTCTACTGTTGATTTGCACATATTTACTGTTTATTTGAGTACTATTTATTCTATTTTACATTACATAACATTTTACATTTTAAACTTGTGTAATAAATACCAATTTGAGATAAATAAAGTACATCTAATCTATTCGAATAGAATGAAACGAAAGCATTTTTTGATGTAATATGATACCTGACACTTGAGTAAATTAAAGACAACTTTAAAAACAGTCATATTTAAATACATAGAAGCAGAACTAATTAATTAATACATAAGATAGGGATGTCACAAGACTAGTGGAGGCACTTTGTGTGGGAGACTCTGCCTCTATGAACTTGTGAATGGATGAATGTCGACTTACATGTATAGCAGCTTCAGGGGAACGACTGGAAAAGCGCTATATAAATGCAGTCTATTGACGATTTGCCAATAACATTGCAATCCCATGATGTTGGCCATGAAATCAGGTTTCTTCTGCTGGGCTAACTCTGTGTTTCTCATATTTATTTTGTTAGAAACTACTTTAAGAAAGCCGACAATAACCAGATTATGAAAGTGTATGGAAATCTCTGGAGATGGAAATCTTAACTAGTGTGAGTTCTTTTTACTGCAGCCAGATGGAGCTTAACATCAAGCGGGGAAATCTACTGACGTTTATGGTAGACTCTGGAATATTTCCCTTTTATTTACTTCACAGCACTGACCACCTAAATGAGAGTTAAAAAGTGAAGTGTTTCAAATCAAATCAAATCAAATCAAGTTTTATTTATATAGCACATTTATAAACGATTTTTGGTCGAGCCAAAGTGCTGTACATATAATAAAAATAGCCTACAGTAGAGACACTTTACAACAGCTGTTTGTAGTCCTAATGCTCACATCTGCTGCTACATGAAGCATTTCATTCAGCAAAGTGACTGTTCCTTGTCAGTCGTTGAGCTGTGAGAATGATTTCTGTGTCTGTGTGACTGTGTGATGGTTTCTCCAGACTCCAGAGCAGCTCCGTCTGGTTTCCTGTAAACCCAAACTCCCTCAACTCCCTCAGCTTCCTCCAACCCTGAGGCCACTTATTCATCCAGCCCCCTCCCCCCTCTTTGAGTTTCACTGAGCTGCCTTCACTGACTCATACACATGCTCTCGTTTTTTTGCCTTTTTAAACTTCAGACCACACTTCTTCAAGTGTTGAGGGATGGTACATGTTCATGCTCCGTCATGTGAAGCTAAAAGCATACTACTCAACTCTCCGAAGGTCTAACAACTAACACATGCATCATTTCCTGTCCGCTCCTCTAGCTTTAGGTTTTTCCTGACTCAAATAAATCAGTGTCTACCTGTGACCTCCATCACAGCTGGTGGTAGTCACTGCTGTAGCTGTAAGTCACTGATAAACCGTAAAGCCACAAAAAAAACAGATATATTGACTTTCATTGTAAACGCTTGTGATTTAGTCATGGGTATAATGGCCAAGGTTTAATACAGATCAAACCAATTCAAACAATAGTTATCATTGATCATACTTTAAAGAAACAGATGTCTGAACTGTGAGCCAGATTGGAAAAAAATCTTAAACAATAAAACATCTACAAAAGACATAAACATATTAAAATGAATGCATATTTAGCCAAACCCAAATATGTTCCACATGCACTGTTCTTTGGAAACATTAGTGCATGGATATCAGTTTTCTACATTGGACCCTTCACCTCTCTTTGTCATGGAAAACAAGAAAAACGTGATTTTTTTGTTGTTGTTGTTGTTGAGTAAATTAAATCCGTCTGTCGTGGACACAAGGGATTACATATATATTGATTTGAAAACACATCATCCAATTGTTCCTTTACCCAGCACATGTCACCTGACTCCAAATCTCTATGTAGCTTATATAACTCTGACTATGTGTCACTTCCTGGACATGTGCTCATCCCCTCCTCCTCTCTCCCTGTCTGTTGTTTCAGGTGCTGTGCAACGGCCCGGGGACCTGCGTTCCCCTGTGTGTGGCAGCACTCCTGCTAGGAATTCTGGGAATGAAGAAAGTCCTGATAGTTTATGTGGAGAGCATTTGTCGGGTGCAGACGCTGTCGCTCACGGGGAAAATCCTGTACCCAATATCAGACTATTTCTTCGTGCAGTGGTCCTCTCTGAGAGACAAATATCCCAAGTCCATTTTCCTCGGGAGAATAGTGTGAAAACATCTGTTACATTTAAATATAATAAAACACATTATAATGTTTGCTGTAATGCTTGTGAATAAATGCGCTATTTTTTTACTTTTGAGTTGTCTTAATGCCTTGTTGAGTTGATAAGCCGTTTCAATGACAATGATAATTAGTTATCAGGGGCTTTGGGACATCAAGCACTTTAGTTCTTCGTTGGTTTTTAATTGTGCATGATGAATGTTGTGCTTTTGTGTGATAAGTGCCTGTGGAAGCATGTGAAACAACAGGAGGCCGAGGGTGGAGCCTTGGGTAACACCACGGGTCAGAGAGGAGGAGGCATCAAAGAGAACTACAGGAAATGTTTTATAAATAACATTTGAGAGGCAGCATCCCTGTTGCTAATTTTAAAGGTGATCCAATAAGGTTGAATTATCAGCTGAGACAAATGAATGCCCAAATTCAAAAATGAAATTGAATGAGTCCATGAAAGGGGTATCGTTTCAAATGTCGCTTTTTGGTGTTCAAAGCATAGTCACAGCTCTGTTTTTCTTTCTTTGTGCTGTGTTTCCTGTTCCTGGATGGAGCCACTGGACAGGAAGAGTTCTGGGATGATTTGTTGAACTAAACCGAATAGGAGGAGGGAAGACAAGGAGCAAAAGTTTCCGAGTCAGTGTGACATCTGGCACTATTTATAGGACAGATCTCAGAGAATCTGGAGAAGAAACACCCAGCTGTAGGAGAGGAGAAACTCCTTTCTGCTTGTTCACACTGACCACTCATACTGTACCACTTTAGCCCATAGCGAATCACTAAAATGTTGGAGTTACTAATTGAGTGAAAACTGGGAAACTGATGGCTGTGTGACCTGTGCAACAAGTTCATAAAGTAGGTGTTGGTATGAAACTGTAAAATCTATTAAAAAAAACGACAAACTCTACAATAAGTATATGTCAAAAGCTAGATAAGTGTTCCTGATGAAAGGGTTCACTCCTACAGAGGCTTAGGCATAGAAGAGTAAACACAGCTGCAGCTAATGGGAGTTCAAATGGACACGCCGACATTTCAATTAAATTATTTCCATTTAGCCTGTTCTAAAGTAGATTTAGGAATCATTGGGCAGCTTGTACAGAAGTAAACATTAGTTCCCTGACTGCTAAATGACTGCGTCAATGGAAAACCAGATCACAGTGTTTATAATGCATTTATAATCAAATTGGAATTAACATTTCAATATGTTCCGGGGTAGGATTTTAAAATGAAATGTATAAAAGGTTTCATTTTAATATAGTAATAGAAGGCCAAAACAAATATGAACATATAACTTGGTTGTTGCATTTTAATTTTTACTTTCAGATCATTTTGTGGTAATGTAATACTGCAAATGGATGAATTGTGTTTTAATGTAATTGCAGTTTATATATGGGTTTCAATAGACAATACTGCATCAGTAGTACTTTTACTTCAGATAGTGATAATAGTTATATTCAAGTTCAAAATCTGTGTGAACACTGTGATACAGTTTATGAGCCATCCTTGAGGAGCAGCAGGAGGGGGAGGGGCCTATTACAAACCAGCCCCTCTGATTGGCTGTTGAGCAGCGTCCATTATTTGGGGCAGTTTTTTGCAAAGTGAGTGAGAGCTGCAGAAAGCTCAGTGTCTCTGGTCCTCTCCTCTGACAAACTCACGGAATACTTTCCTCCTGTCTGCGTGTTCAAGAGAGAAGCAGCTGCAGTTTATAGGAGTCCTTCACCGCAGCATCTGTGCTACACTGTAGCTAAGGATACTCTTTCGGGTTTACAAGAAGAAGAAACGAACAAGAAAATGACACATTTTAATAAAGGACCGTCCTACGGATTATCTGCAGAAGTGCGAAGCAAAGTAAGTATTTACCTTTGTGTTTCAGGGAGGGGGGTTACTCAGACACTTTGAGAAGTTAACAAATACTTTTTGGACCTGAGCCATAAACACATAGCCCGTTAACGCTGGCTCTTTCTCTGGGAGAAAAGCAACACGCCGAGCACAAAGCCATTCAACTAAGTGCCAGTTTAATGTGCATTGGCGAACGGTGAACGCTGCCTAAACTTTGGGAATTTTCCAGAAATTTCGGTGCTCTTTTCAGCACATAAAAAGTCAAGAATGCGTTCAAACGGTAAACTAACAAAGGCAGGAGAAAGAAATGTGAAATGTGATCCAACAGTTGAGATTTTAGTACAAAAGTCCAGCGTGAAAGTGCAGCTCCTTGACTTTAACGGTTTAAAGTTGTGTGTTCGTTATAGTAAACCGTGTAAAACATTTAGTTACACATGAAGCAACTGTATCCCCCCCTCAATGATGGAAAACTCTCCTTTTATCCTTGTTTATGCATTGGTTTAATTTAAACTGCTTATTTTGTTGACTTTGCCCACCGTGTGTTTGCATTGTTAACATTACTTTTTATTATTTTATTAAAGGGATATGATAGAAATCCAATTGTTTGTGAATGGAGGGGCTGTGTGTCTGGGTCCTGGCATACATATGTGACATGTATTGATTTCCAATCTGTTGTCTGATGATTGCACTATTTTAAAGTTAGATTGCCACGTAGCATTAATGGTATTTTAGTAGCTTTATGGTATTAAGTATGATAATAAAGGAAAGTGTGCAACAGGAGGCTGCACTGCAAAAACGAGTGAGTTTTTAAATAAAGAGATATAAGTGATGTCTGTCTGGATGCAGACTGGTGGGGGTTGTAGGAAATGTCCAATGGATGACATCATCAGAAAATCATTGCACATTGACTTTAGTGCATTTTAATGGCATGTGTTGCATTATAGTGACACTGAGAAGTGTATTTATAAGTACTTTAAAAAAGGGACAGTGTTTTCAATCATGAACCACAAATCACATGTGCCGCTCACCATTTTTAAAGCTCCCTGTAATTTCCAAATGTTTTTCCATTACTTCAGCACACATGGATGGCCACTGGTTTAACAGTGCTGTGAAATGTGTTGACCTGCAGCAGTTTGGTCATCCATCATAAAGAACGGCATATCTGATTTGAGTGAAGTTTGAAGTTCTGCAAAAAGTCCTCATATAGATTATTGTTGGCCTATGATGCTAAAACTGGTGATTTTCCATAATACCAGTGTCTAACCATGGATTGTTCAGTAAGTAGCTTGTAAAATGGAGAATAATAGAAACAACTGTTAGTAAACCACAATGCAATCCAACCACAGGGACTTAAGCCAACTTGATTTGGACATCCCTGCTGTTCACGCAACAGTCAACGTCGGAAATAGTCAAAAAATACTGCATTAGACTTCTCCAGAGTTTCCAGCACGTTTATCAAGTGGGCAGTGTGACGGCTGACTTTATTTTGTACTTTATATCCATTTCATAACTTTTTGGGGAGCGGAAATGTATCTTTACTGACAAAAGAACATTGACTTTTGACAAAACAACAGCATGGAAATTGCTCTTCAAGAACGTATTGTCCATGTTGGCCTGAAGCTGAGGTTCAAAGTGACTTTTCAACTTGTCCATTCAGTAGCTGCTCCTGGAGAAATGCCCAGATTGGATTGGAGATCTACAATTTCATGTCACTTCAGTAAACACAGACCTCCAGAGGTGCTACTTAATGGAGTTTAGGTGTGAACTTTTAACCTTGTGTGTTGATGGGATTTGCATTACAGTGTTGATTATGGAATTGAATTAGTCAACCACTTGAGATGTCCCGCCCCTTAACCTATCATGTACAATGTGTTGGAGCTCTAGCCAATCAAAGCCGAGTGTTACAGGGAACTTTGATTTTACCCTTTGCAGTCGATGTACATGCACACAAACCCTATAGCACACTCCAGGAAAGGGAAAACCCCCAACAGCATAATAGGGCCTCTACTTTTTCCATTTGGAGGTATGTGTATTCTAAACCTGACTGTAATGTGTCAACTGCAGTCACGTAGACCCAGTTAATTGCAGAAAAACCTCCTCTGTCAGGGAGTGCACATAAACAAAAGGAGGGTGTCAGGCGGGGGCCCATCTGGGTTCCATTGCAGTGGTGTGATCAGTAGCCCATGCTCTTCTTCTCCGAGCTGCATACATCACATTCCTGAAATCCTTCAGCAAAAACCCCTCGACGAGGACCCCATCCATCGGCCCACCGCCTTTCACTTCCACTCTGCTGTGAGCATCAGGGTTTTATAGTTGGGTAGACATTTGGATTAAAAACAAGTCAGTTGTGGCGCTTTTTTTGCTGTAGGAAATATCACATTGGATGTGTACACGACAGGGTATTCTGATTAGAACGGGTTATTTAGATGAACATATATATATTGTATTTATCTAATTATTACCTCAACTTCTAAAGTCATAGGTTGTGAATGATTACCATATTGTTTTTGTTAACCAGTAATAATATAAAAAGCCATTGGCGTATTTTTGGATCTCACTTCCCAGAGATCGCCCTCTTGTCATTTTTCCTGGGAGTGTCGCCACAGACACCCAATTTGTAACGGCAAGATGACAAACACTTTGATCAGAGAGCCAAAGCTTTCAACAGCACTGTTACCTCATTCTGCGATTGTGACCTAACACTACTCGCAAATATTGTAAACGTGGGAAAAGGCGATCACATACAGCCTCGGTTAATATATTAAACGTGGTGCTTATCGGAGATAGAGTTGTTTGATTTGAACTGCAATCCGTATCGACACTTTATAAGCTGTGGAAGGAATATTATAAACCACAGGAAACAGAAAATCGGTCCATTGTGCAATAAAAGTGAATTATTTTATCAGTCAATAAAAGGCTTTGGAAGCACATTCATGTTTCAGGGGAAATGGAAAGCAGATAGATTTCCTTTGTGTGACTGGAAAAAGAAACTGGCCTCATGGAACATTTTAAAATTATTACATTATTCTGTATATTTTATTCCCTTTTCCTGTTTTAAATCCGGCTCATAAAGAGAGGCAGTTATGTGCTTTGTGTACAAAGAAAAGTGAAACCAGAGACTCTCGAGCTTTCCGGGTTATCTTGTCTTTTTTATTTCAAGAGCTCTCACTTGACTTGTTTTGAGGTGTTTGCTAAAGGTCTGGCAACAACTCTCTGCCATGAGCTTTTCAGCGTGTCTGCTC